AAAAAAAAAAAAAAAAAAAAAAAAAAAAAAAAAAAAAAAAAAAAAAAAAAAAAAAAAAAAAAAAAGAAAGAATGGCTCTAGGTCTTCAGATATTAGCTTAAAAATGATAACATCCAAAAATTTTTTCTAAGTTAATTGAGGATAAAACCATTATTGGTTATTTGTCCAAGACCCTCAGTTGCCTTATAGAAGTAAGAGTGGTCAAATGCGGACCAAGTGCTTCTGTTGCAATGCATGACCAGCATCTGCCTCTGTTTCTGGGATGAGGTTGGGCTGGGGGATAGTTGTGGGGGTTGGTAGGTGGGCTAGGCATTAGTCAGGCACAGCTTTCTCCAGAGGTATCTGCTCACGAAAGCCCTCTCCAGAATCATCTCTTTCCACACTGACCTCTTTTCTATTCTAGAAGTGGGTAAAAGACTTGAGCAGTCCTGGAACAGGTGCAGAGTGACAGTGACTCAGCCCTCACTTCCCACCAGCATCTCATGTTGGCAGGGAGGCAAAATACAGGCAGGAAGAGCCCAAGGGTAGCATCCCATTTTAGGACTCTGCAGTCTTTCTGACTGTCCTCTTTGAGTACAAGCCTGATTTTTGATATGCTAAATTTCCTGCACTTTCATATTTTTAAAAAGCACGGTGCTTTGTATTAAAGGCACTGCCAGTAACACACACATACCCACGCCATTGACTTTGTCCTTTTTGCCACAGGGATCACTTTTCGCTCTGAAGTCTCCTGGCTCTTAGAGAAACACGCTGCCTGCCAGGTGCGGTGGCACGTGCCTGTGGTCCCAGCTACTCGGGAGACTGAGGTGGGAGGATCGCTTGAGCCCAGGAGTTCTGGGCTGTAGTGCGCTATGTGGATTGGGCATCCACGTTAAGTTCAGCATCAATATGGTGACCTCTCAGGAGTGGGGGACCACCAGATTGCCTAAGGAGGGGTGAACCGGCCCAGGTCAGAAACGGAGCAGGTCAAAACTCCTGTGCTGATTAGTAGTGGGATCACACCTGTGAATAGCCACTGCAATGCAGCCTGGGCCTGGGCAACATAGTGAGACCTATCCTCTTTAAAAAAAAAAAAAAAAAAATGTGCTGCCTGGCTCCACTTTTGGCCTTCTCTCCAGTATTTTACTCTAGTGGCTGCGTGAGGCCCCAAAGGCAGACTCTTCTCATTTGTGGCAGTTATAAAGCAGGGAAGGAGAGCTACAATATCAGATGGGAAGTCAGGGGCCAAAAGCCTTTGACGGCCTAGATGGGTGGGATGACTCTAACAACACAAAGTATAATAGAGATACAATGTAAAGCCAAGTTCTTACCTTAAAAATAAAAAGCAACTATCCAAATTCACAATTGGGAGAAAAATAATAAAATTACTACATTAAAAACATGAGTTTTAGTTCCTTCAAGCTTACTAAGAGTCAACAATCAGTGGAATGTTGGGTTGTGTCAATGCAAATAGCATTCCAAGCACGGGTGGCTGTCCTCCATAGCAGGGGTGCATGCTTCATAAGAGGAGCAACATCAGACTTCCAAAGGAGATGGGAGACTTTGTAGCCATGAACTAAGTAACCTACTAAGAAAACTACTGGTAGGTTGTCCAGAAAGGGATGAACTCTGGGCTACTAAAAGGGAGAATGAGTAGATAGTAGCAAGGAAGGTAAATCTCAATTTTTTTTTAGGAAGAACTTTGATCTCAGAGTTGTGCAGAAGCAAATAACACCTTCCCCAGTAATCTCTGAATATTAGCACTCATGGGGTATCTCACACTCAGACATCACCATTTGAGCTCTTTTCCTTAGTATTCTTTTGCCTTTTCATTTCAAGGATCTAAGTTATCATTGGGATCCTGTTTAAAATGTGACTCCTGGCCAGGTGTGGTGGCTCATGCCTATAATCCCAGCACTTTAGGAGGTCTAGGTGGGAGAATTACTTGAGTCCAGGAGTTTGAGCCAAGACTGGGCAACGTAGTGAGACCTCCACCTCTACCCTCACGCCCACAATCCCCCAGAAATGTGCATGATGGCACATGCCTGTAGTCCTAACTCTGCAGGAGGCTGAGGAGGGAGGATCACTCGAGCCCAGGAGTTCGAGGCTGTAGTGAGCTGCAGTGGTGCCACTGCACGCCAGTCTGGGCAACAGAGCAAGACCTTATCTCAAAAAAAAAAAAAAAAAAGAAAAGTAACTCTCTAGGAATAAAGGGAATATCATAAACAAGCAATTTCAACCCCACTAGAGACCAAAGAAACGTAAAGTAAAATTATACTGTGACGCTTTGGTTTCATGATGTCAACTGAACAGACACTACCACCTCTCCTTCCCACTCACAGAGCCCCCAAGAATGAGAGAAAATGTGTTTAAAGCCATATAAATGTATAACTATATTAAGAAATAAGAAACACAAACCTCAGAACTCCAGAAGGTTTAAGAATTCCCAGCAAGGTGGTTATCAGGCAAACCTAGATAGAGGAAGCTGCAGTCAGGCACAACCCAAGAAAGCTCCCACAGGGTTCCGCCCCAGTGACTGGACAGGAAAGGCATGTGGGGAACCTGAGTGATCCTCAGGGGCATTGGCTGGGCGAGGACACAGCAGCCACAGCCACCAGCCAGGCCAATCGCAGTGGGGAGCAGTGCAGGGCAGAGTCGGGCGGCTCTGCCCCGGTAGCCCACAGATCCCCTGTGCAGTGCACACATGCACCCCGCAGGAAGCCTGCATAGCCATCATGTGTTCATTGTTTGGGCTTTTTTTCGTTTTTGTTTTTTTATCGTTGTGTCCGTTTTCATAAAGAATAATGCTGAGGCTCTGAAAGGTTGACTTGTCAAAACTCTCCCAGATGGCTAGCAAAAGGAGCGGTCAGGTCAGGCACTTTGTTCTTCCCCCGATGTACCTGGGAAATGAGACTAGGGCATCTCTCCAACCTGCATGAGAAAAGAAAGGAGTCCAAGCGAGTGTCCAAAGTGGCTTTCCTCTGTCAATCAATAAAACTGCTGTCTAAGCATCTACTTGTACAGATGTATAATAGCTGTCTAATAACTTAATTCTTCTTTATCCTCAACTAGCAAACATTCTGAAATAAAAACAGCCCTCATCAGTGTAGGTCTTCCATTTCTTGTGGATATGCACATGTGTTTCCTCTCCTGAAGTCTAATTCCTAACAAATGGGCACCTTTTTGACACAGCACCATTGTTAATTAAAACCTTAAATCATGTTAGATGTTTTTAAAAAAAAACTAGAAGCCGTTAAGCTCATTTTTGAAAACTAGAAATTATTTCTTAGAAATGAGAATCATTGGCATCACCCACCTGGTTTTTGTTGTTTTGTGTTCTGTGGGGCTGAGACAGGGAGGTGTTGTAGTATTAATTACTGCTGGGATGTCTTGTGCTGGGCCACCAGCTACTTGCACTTGAAAAACTTGTGGCCAGGTGTGGTGGCTCATGCCTATAACCTCAACACTTTGGGAGGATGAGGCAGGCGGATCACCTGAGGTCAGAGGTTCGAGACCAGCCTGGCCAACATGGCGAAACCCTGTCTCTACTAAAAATACAAAAATTAGCCAAGCATGGTGGTGCACACCTGTATTTCCAGCTACTCAGGAGGCTAAGACAGGAGGATCGCTTGAACCCGGGAGGCAGAGGTTGCAGTGAGCCGAGATCACGCCACTGTGCTCCTGCCTGGGCAACAAGAGTGAGACTTTGTCTCAAAAGAAAAGAAAAACTTGCCAAGGATGTGAAATTGTGGCATATTCAAAATACCAGTAAGGATATAGAAGAGAACATG